ATCATAATTTGATAAACGAGCGATGTCTTGCAATACGAGCAGTACGTCTGCCGAGCGTCACGTGATCACAACTGAGCCAATGGTTCTTCTCTCTCTCTCGCTGCGGGATTGTGGGTAATCATCTCCCATGCTGGGTCTCAGTCGGCATGCCTCACTCGTATAGTCAACATCCGTGCGAGCATACTGTATACTACAGTACTATAGTGTTGTGACCACGTGTGTGCGTAAAGCATTTCTTTATTTTGTGTCCAAGTGTAGTGACTGTTCTTTAGTAACTGTACTACAAGTGAAAGTCGTCCTACACAATAACCCTCCTCCTCCTCTCCTATCTCTCGTCTCCCTCACACCAGCCACGATTTAATGTAATTAATAAATATGTTTACTTTATATTAATTTTAAATCATAAAAATATGAAAAGGTATTTTGTATTAATCATTTTTATATGAATACAGTATTTTTGGGTTGTGGAACGAATCATATGAGTTTCCATTATTTATATTCTTGGTTCTTTCGATAAAGTCATGTAGAAGGGAAACAATAAAATAATAAAAATATAAAACAATTAAATTCTCACGACGTTTCGACTGCAACACAAGCAATCATCATCAGGTGTGAAAACCACAGCAAGAAAATTTGAAAAAATATTTTCCATTATTTCTTTGATATACGAGTGCTTTGAATTACGAGCACGTTTCCGGAACGAATTATGCTCGCAATCCAAGGTTTCACTGTATTTTTATTTAACCAGGTAAGGCTTACCGAGATATTTTGCCATTGTTCAGAAATTATCCAGGCACAGACGATAGCTCAACGAAGTGGCTTATCATCGTGTGGAAATATATAGCAGCCAAAATGCTCTAAAAGCAAGTTTCTAAACGTGGAGGGAAAAACCGGAGGACACGGAGAAAAATCCACGCGACCACGGGCAGAGCATGCAACTCCAAACATACAGCAGACGTCAGGGTCGGGATCGAACGCACAACTTCCTGTATACCAGGCGAGGTAGTTATCACTCTGAATGTAATGGCTTGATGCCTTCAGCAATGGATGGACCTTGGCTGATCCAGTAATTACGTGTTTATTCTGTGACTGATTTTCACCTGAAGAACTGGGGGTGAATTAGGGCATGAGGAGAAAATGAATTCGGGGCGCACATTGTTTGGTGTAGAACCCGGTCACTCAAGTTCAATTCTGGGCCACGGCTAACATCAGTTTAACACGTAGGCTTTGGCGACCAATTTCATCCATAATAATATGGATTATATCCATAACAATATGGATATTGTGGTGGCGGGTTTAATGACACATTCATATTTAGGCGATCTAACCCAAAAAAAACTACATTATTGCTAACATCAGTGTTCTTGGGTACCACCTTCACAAACCACCGATGACCAGCGTGGTGAAGTATAGTCACAAACACCCACATTACTGACAGCAGTGAACTGGTAAAGGGGCTGTTTGTTACTAATCTATATATAATTATTGAATACACTTTCAGGAGTGTCCTGCAGTGTGACGATAAAATGAGTGTCCTAGTAACGTGAATTGCATGCAAGCACAGCAAAGTCGAAGTCTGCTAAGGAACCGTCCATAAATGACGTCACGCACCTAGGGGGGGGTCAGACATTTGTGACGATGTGTGACGGGGGGGAGGTTTGAGAAATGTGACGGCACATCAAAATGCGCAACTTTAAATATAAACACGTTCTATTATATTCTTGGTTCTTTGTATAAAACACGTTCTACTTAATTAAATATACTTTTTAATACGTTTTCTCCGATAACATCAGAGTGCAGCGGCACATTAAATACGCACTACAATGACAATAGTTTAAAGCGATTTGAAGCATGTTTTATATTTTTTTGGCGGGGAGGGCAGAGCTTTGTGACGTCATATTTGAGGGGGGGGTCTGACTTTTTGTGACGCCGTGTGACGAGGGGGGGGGGTCAAAAATCGCGTGACGTCATTTATGGACGTCCCTTAAGCAGCACACAATTTGCCAATAGGTATTGTATACAAAGCCAATCCGAGTTACATGAATATCATGAGGCAAGGATCACTAACATCAATCAGTAACGCCGCTCCGTCGTTAATGTGCAAGACGTGTACGGGGCCCTGTTGTCAATCCACTGCTGGATGACGGCCGCCACGCCTCATCAGACGTGGGGGTTATTTGACCATACTTCACCATGCTGGTCAGTGCGGGTTGATGAATGCATGGAGCAGGGAGCATAGACGTGGGAGCGATGTACAGTTACAATTGATATTGCCGCACGACTCGTATGTCAACAACGTACTATCGTCGTTAAAATATATATAACTTAGTCCAATCATTCAACAGCTCAAGCGTCCCGATGTCGTGATGAGCGGCGTTAGCCGGCGGTCTTAAACCAGTGACGAAAACTCCGCGTTACTACGACGGGGCCAAGTCTGCCCACACACCACACAACAAAAACCACTCCGAGGGCACAAAGATAGACGGCTGTACTTTCACAATGCTAAAAAACACGTCAAGTAATACAATATACGATCACAACAAGTATCACGTTTATACTGGGCGGAGAGCTACCGAGCGATACAACCGCCTACGCGGTACAGTACGGACTGTAGCAACTCGCAAAAAAACAACTCCCCTCACAGTTTTGTTTAAAATATATAAAAGTGTGAACGCAAACTTGGGAAGGACGACAGCATCACTTACCTTCGCGGCGTTAAGTGAGGAGCGCACACACAAACACAAAAAAAAACTTTTAATATTGTGGTAAAAAAAGACGCCGGCGATTCGTCTCGAAACGCCCAAACGCAGCGGGGGGGTTCTCGCACTCGAAATTTGGCGGGGAAAAAAAGGCGGCGACCGCGAGTCTGTGGCGCTGTGCCCGTGCACAAAGGCGATTAATGTGCCAAGTTTATTAAATTAACCTTTATGGATGGAGAGACCCCGGGGGTCCCCGCCATGAACGAAAGTCAAAATGGTTATTAATTGTATTTATTTTTGGCGACTCCGTCGTCACGCGCCGCGCAACGTCAACGCCGCGGCTGCACCAGAAATCAATCCTCTCGTTTCTTCAACCAAGCACCTTGCCGTTGCCAAAATTCCCGCAGTCATAAACACAACGTTGATTAGCGCATCGTGTAGAGCTCGTCGAGAAGGACAGATCGCCGCGTCGATCGTCTTCAGCAGACGTAAAATGACGTCACAACGCAGTTTATGCGAGAGCCGGGGGGGGGGGGGGGCTTCTGGGACCCCCCCGGGGTGCCGCCATAAGGTTCATTAATGCTGATAACATAACAAACATACACACAAACAAGCCTTTCTTACTCTTTGGTTTTATTCGGTAAAGTAAAATAAAATAATTATTTTCTTTTATTTTGTTTTATTTTATTTCCTTTAATTTTTTATTTTATTTTTTTTATTTTGTTTTCTTTTATCTACGCGACTTTACCGAATAAAACCAAAGAGTATGAAATCCTTGCAGTCACGAAAAGCTTCAAATCTAAAGCCTTTCTTGTTCGCCTCAATAAATGTCACAATTTACCTGATGTGGGTTTTTTTTTGTGTAACACATTTTAAAAAAAATATATATCTACAATCAGACACTATAAATAACTACTTTGGAAAAAAATGTATTTTCCCATAAAAAAAGTCTTGACGAATTGATTCAACTTCTTATATTTAAAGACGTACCTATCGGAAACCGCTCAATTTTAAGATTCCCTTCTTTTTATAAAATAAATAAATGTTTAAGGGGCCGTCCATAAATGACGTCACGCAATTTTGGCCGATTTTTGACCCTCCCCCCTCCGCCGCTCGTCACACGGTGTCACAAAAAGTCACACCGCCCTCAAATATGACGTCACAAAGATCTGCCCCTCCCCCCCAAAAACCATACATTATTTACATTTTGAAAATAAAACATGCTTCAAATCCCTTTAAACTATTGTCATTGTAGTGCGTATTTAATTTCACGTCACATCAGAATGCGCAACTTTAAATAAATATAAACAATAAAATTGTTAAAACAACACTAATTTTTATTAATTTTCATTATTAACCATTTGATCATTTAAATTTGGAGAAGCATACATTTTGTAATTTTTTAAAATGATTGTTATTAAACATTTTGATTCTAATGATTCTACCAGGGCTTTTCATTTTGTGGAATGAATATGTGATTGTTATAATTGTACTCTCCATTTTGCTTCGTTCTACTACAAAGTATTTTTTTACAATTATAATTACTTTTAATATTTTATAATTATAAGAGAATTTCAATATAAAATTCTGAACATCTGCAGTTTTAGTTAGACGTTGAATATTTTAAAGTGTATTTTATGCTAAATTTCAGCTTTCCAACGCCTCCTTTTTTAATAAATGTTTTCTCCTACAACATCAGAGCGCAGCGCCACATTAAATACGCACTACAACGACAATAGTTTAAAGTGATTTGAAGCAAGTTTTATTTTCAAAATGGAAATGTTTTTTTAGGGGAGGGGGGCAGAGTTTTGTGACGTCATATTTGAGGGGGGTCTGACTTTTTGTGACGCCGCGTGAAGATGGGGGAGGGGGGGGTCAAAATCGGCCAAAATCGCGTGACGTCATTTATGGACGGCCCCATATATTTGGTGTTTGGACATCTTAACACCTGTTTTATTGCCAGGAAGGGTACAGCCTCCCCCCCCCCCCCCCCCCCCAACATTTTGATACTGGCAAAAAAGGTCCCACAGATGACTTGCGTCTCTAATTTTCACTTTTAAAAGCGAGAATATTCCGCAATAGAGTTGCACGCCGATTGCAATCGAAAATCCTCAAAATAGCCGTCAGGTGGCGCTCAACTGCAGCGATTTAAACCCCCAATACTTTTTTTTTCAATGAAAACTTTGAACGCAACCCACCCACCAACCACAACAACAACAAGAACCACCACCACTCACCCACCACCACCACTCCCTCTCTTAATCCATGCTGTAGGATCCCCCCTCCTCCTACACCTCTTCAATGTCCCGCCCATCTCTCACAAAATCCAGCCTCCACTCTCTCTCTCTCTCCCTGTTCACCCAGCCGCCGGCCGGATACGGCACCGACCATTCAGAGAGTGGTGATTCGATGGACTGAAACGAGCAAAAGGAACAAAAGCTCCCTCCCCCCGGCCTCGGTTGATTCAACAAAAGTAAACACCGTGGAAGAGGGAGACCTGTTTGCCGATACCGGTCGCTCAGTCCATATCATGGTCTCTTATGCGAAGGAGGTCTTGCAGTAGTTGAATGTCTCGTGGTCAAGTTATCGTCCAGCGAAATCTAGAAGCGTCGGTCTTTTGCCAACTCGCTTTAAATTCAGCTCTCGTACAACTTAAATACAACAAAAAGGCTGGCAAATACTGTCGATACAAATAAGGCGAAAAATAACCCATAGCGTGTTGTGCAAATTCCTGCGTGGGTTTTTTTAAGTCGTTCGAGTTTCTCAAGCTGCGATGAGCTTTGTATCATGCGCGTAGGCTGTAGCTGAATGGACCTTGTGTCGATTTAAAGCAGAGAAAGCAATGTTCTGATTTTGTTCCAACAAACTTTTTTTTTAGAGCGGTGGATGAGTCTCTGCGCAGGACAGGTTGTTGATTAATTCCGTGCAAGAGCGTGCTGGATTCTCGGTGAATGGGAGAAAGTGAACTGAAGGATGGAGCAAGCTTCGGTCGCAAGATGCAACTTAAAGTTTGTCGGAGTGGTGGCCCTGTTCTTGTTGAGCGCTGTCTTCTCGACTGAAGGTAAGAGTGATGTCTTGAGCTTACACTTTCCTTGTATGTACGTTGAAGTTCTTTCGCACCGTACGCAGCCAGCCGTGCTAATCGCAGGTGCGGAGGACTAAAAGACGCCGGGATGCGCGTGTTGCCTTATGAAACGTAAATCTGTGCACACCGATGGAGAAAATTATACACAAGTTGAACAACAACAGTATGGAGATGAAGCACGCAGGGAATGACACTGCTACTTATATCATCAAATTAGTATCAAATTCAGTTTTACAACAAAACACTTATTTTGTCCCTCGCCTCTTCAAAAGCTCTTTAGTAATTATATGAAATATTTATTCTCGGATTCATGATTTTGATTTTTTTGGGTTATATCATTGTGTAGCTATAATGACAATTTTCAACTTTACCCTCCGCCACCTGACAAAGACAATGAGATAAAGTTGTCACGTAGCCAATCGTTCCAAATTATTGGCATTATACCTACGCGATACAACGCGAAATAAACGAATTATGAATCATAATATTGGCCGTGAAAGCCCACGTATAACTTGTTGTCTAATTAACCTGGCATTTTATTTTATTCTAATTCGCCTTTAATAGTTGCCCCAAGGTATACAGTGCATGTTTTTCAGCTGTGTCACTCCCTACAATTATTTTAATTGATTCAGCAAACCTGGTGTGAGTGATTAAACGTAATTTGGTGATGCTGCTGCGTTGACAGTAGTGCCCAGGCACAATTATAGGAAATAAATCCAAACATAATACTACACTGCGTTGTATATAACAGTTGTCTTGAAATGGCTCTTCTTCATCGCACGCACAATGTTCTTTGAAGAGGGGCCATTGCCCGAAACGTCGCCTATTATATATTTTTCTTTTGAGGCCGGAATGCTATCGACGAGTTTTATTCTGTTGTACGTCACTTTGTACGGTGTTTTGGCTTGCGCTTATATTCAGTCAAACTTTGAAAATAACTTCGCTGTAATGTTGTTGCCTGCGATATATATTTAAAAAAAATACTTTTTGTTCTCTATTGGCTACACATTTATTTGATTTGTCACAATATTTTTTTTTAAATCTTACAATGGAAATTTTTAAACCGCGGATAGACGCGCAGAGAATCTAGGGTGGTGTCCCTGTATTCAGCGTTTTGAGTGATAAACTGAGCGACCGAGTTCAATTCCTGGCCACGACTACAAACGCAGAGTGGCGAGTAGTGTCAGAACTGGCCCTGGTCCGAGTCATAAAATGTTAGGTACCGTCCACTGATTTAAAAACCTTCTTCTTTAGGCATATTGGTGTATTACTTTATATTAACCAGTTCAGGTTTCCAAAAGCACCCAAACTCGCACAGCCACCTCATTACTGTCGTAAGTTTGATCCCGATCCGCCTTCAATAACTTCCCGAGGTATCTGCACAACAACGTGTTGTGTTTTCCCAGTTGTGTCCCTCCGGCAAGACACCTCCGATTGTTCCTCGGCCTCATTTTTTGTACGCACGAATTTTTCACGATGCGATCCGTACGTATCGCGTTGCATTGCCACGGTTCTCACGCGGTCGCTGCACTGCAACGTAAACCATAACAATCAGCTCAAGAACCAGAATCTTGGATCTGAGTGGCGACAATTAATGGAATCGTTTAATACAACACCCATATATACACACACACATCCGGGCAGGACTAATAATTTTTTGCGATCTCGATGGTAGCCTGGAGTCGGCGCGTTACTGGTAGCCAAAGCCATAACGAGAGGTATCATCAATGTGGTGTGCCGGGACCGTCTGTACGGAAATATACACTGTACTGTATTAGGGGCCGTCCATAAATGACGTCACGCGATTTTGGACGATTTTTGACCCCCCCCCCCCTAGTCACACGGCGTCACAAAAAGTCAGACCCCCCTCAAATATGACGTCACAAAGCTCTGCCCCCCCCCCAAAACCATATAAAACATGCTTCAAATCGCTTTAAACTATTGTCATTGTAGTAGTGCGTATTTGATGTGGCGCTGCACTCTGATGTTGTAGGAGTATTGTTATAACAATTAGTGTTGTTATAACAATTATATATTTATTTAAAGTTTCCCATTTTTATGTGACGTCACATTTCTCACCCCCCCCCTTCGTCACACATCGTCACAAATGTCTGACCCCCCCCCCCCAGGTGCGTGACGTCATTTATGGACGGCCCCTAAGCTCAGCTAAGAAGCATACCTGTGCCTTTCAACAGTCACGGGAAATGATTCACAAACCTGTTAACCCCTTATCAGCGCTGCCTACCTTATTACAGACCAATTCAGACCTTATTGGTAACCCACGTGCCCCTTATAAATCTCAACTTTCATCCTACAAAGTCTCATCACAATGGAGGAGGACAAAGAGACAATTATGTATTGTCCATGTTGTTGAAACGGCTGTACGCCGTATAGACCTGAATAAAATTTCCCTGTTCAGGAATACAGGTAAGGGGCCGTCCATAAATGACGTCACGCACCTAGGGGGGGGGGGGGTTCAGACATTTGTGACGATGTGCGACGAGGGGGGGGGGTTTGAGAAATGTGACGTCACATCAAAATACGCAACTTTAATAAATGTAGACAACACGTTCTACTTAATTAAATAGACTTTTTAATAAATGCTTTCTCCTACAACATCAGAATGCAGCGCCACATCAAATACGCACTACTACAATGACAATAGTTTAAAGCGATTTGAAGCATGTTTTATTTTTCGGGGGACGGGGGGGGCTGAGCTTTGTGACGTCATATTTGAGGAGGGGGTCTGACTTTTTGTGACGCCGTGTGACGAGAGAGGGGGGGGGGTCAAAAAAGCGTCCAAAATCGCGTGACGTCATTTATGGACGGCCCCTAAACCGTATGGGTTGACGGCTATGGATCCATGCACTTTGCACAAACAACAACTAAACATCCCTCAATGCCTTCGTCAAAAACCCCGCCATAACAGGAAATGATAGTGTACTATAACAGGTGACTTATCGTGCAATGGTCCTTCATAACACGCAAATGTGGACACCAACAGATAGCGGATAAGAGTCGGAGGCTGCACTCGTTGACATGGGGCTGGATGAGAATTACATTATACAATTATTTCCGTATGAATGTGTTTTTTTTTAGATTGCAATGTGAATTGTTACCGATTAGAATAACGGACAAACCCTCCAAGAACAAACACAAATAAATGTTACTTATGCACTAATGTGTGTAATATAATGCAACAATGTGGTATTCAATACTCGTGCACTTTGTCACGATTGCCAAAGTCTGTTCTTCACGGCTATAGGTGACGCAGAAGCAGTGACGTGGCGGAATGCAATAATATAATTTATGGCACCTAAGTGAATCCACTGCTGGATGAAGGCCTCCCCCCACATGCTGTGTCGGCCGATCGTGGAGGTTGTTTGACCATACTTCACCATGCCAGTCAGTGCAGGTTACGCATTACGGATGTGGGAATGGGAGGGTAGTGCCAGTTCAGAATCTTTGTTTATCCTTGAGGAATCCGATGAGCTGTGAAGCTCTTTTTCACAAATGTCTAGTAGGGCACAGATCGGCAAGTTACAACAACAAAACAAAATGTTCACTTATTCTTAGCTCTTTCGGTAAAGTCACGTTGAAGGGAAACAATAAAATAATAAAATATATATAAAACAAAAATTTCAACGTGACTTTACCGAAAGAGCTAAGAATATGAATTACTGCAGTCACGAAAGCTTTAAATCAAAATTTAAGATTTCCACTTGCTGCTGCTGCTGCTGTTAGTGTCCTCATGGCCATCGTGATTCTTCTACGTGAGGAAAATAAATAGGAATTCCACTTTCCGCCGGTCGTCGGGGTTGTTTAACCATACCTCACCACGTTGGTCAATGCGGATTGACAAGAGGAAGTGCGTGGGGGTGGAACCAGTTTGGATATCGCTTGCTACTTGCGTTAGCACCATAATCATAATCGTGAATCTATAGTTTAGGAAACTTTACTTCCCCATGCATATGTTAGTTTGTGAGCCCCGTCGCTTTTAGTCTTGTGTCGCTGGTGGCCTAGAGTAGAGCCTATCACTCGTAGCCAGAGCCAAAGCGATATGTATTATTGCCGGGTGATGATATTTTTTTTCGAATAGATATTATCGTGCATTCCGACCGAAGGTCATCAGGTACCTGTGGTGTTGATGATTACCTGTGTACCACCTATGACCCTTGAGTTGGTAATTGGTTTGTGAAATGGAGAAAAGAAATGTGAGTGACAAATAAAGCTTTTTTTTTCCACCCCCGTGGGACTCAAACTTTGACATTTCACGGTTGTGTTATGCTCATTGTAGTATATTGGCGAGTGTAGAAAGTGGCCATGGTGTTGCTGATAAATGCCAACACCACGTACCCCAGTCTCAGTTTCTCTTGTTACACAATGGTCATGAGGGGAATAAAATATCGGTTAAAAAAGGTTTGTTATTTTTCATTTGCGAATTCCTTTCATGCTGTATAAATAAGGTAGTGTCAAGGCTCGAAACTTAGTTTTTTTTCCCTCTCTGCCTATGACTAGCTGCCTCTCTGCAAAATTAAAGACCCCACTGTTTCTGTGCAGCATCATGAGATGCGGTCACAATTATATACACGATATAGATCCACATTTGTATTCGACCCGCGATTAGAGGTCTATGCCCTGTTCTTGCCATCAGATGTTTCGGATGTGTTACGGAGTGGTTGCCCACGAGTGTTGTGGGAAATGTAAGGCTCGGGGAGCCCCACAATTTAATATCATACGGACCGTGGGCACGTGAGGCCTACCACATCGAAACGGCCCACGGCCACTAATCCTTCACCGCAAGCTTCTTAGCCTCGCTAATCGGGTACTGGAGGGTTCACTTTTTTCGACCTGGCAACAACACTGTGTTTCGAATTTCAGCGCTGCGTTCGCTCACTTCCGTCACTGCCAGGGCCTCCTACGGTGACAGGAGCCGCTGAGCGTGTGTGCTGGTGTGTGGTCCCCCCCACCAAAGGTATTTGTTAAAGTCCTATTCGGCCCTCAGTCGGGGAAAAAGTTACCAACCCCCTGCCTTCCAGTCTAGCAGCTTTCAATTTGGTCTGTTTATGCAGTGCAGTAGTCCAGAGCCAAACAGTGGTGGTTCCATGGACAGACATACCTCACCCCCCCCCCCCCCCCGCCATAGAAATGTGGAATTTCCACCACTGGCTCAGGGCTGCAAATAGGAGAAAAGCACCTCCTCAATGCTCATTTGAGCAAGAAATCACTTTGACTATTGACTTTTGAAAATCCAAATGAAAGAGATAAGTTTGTATTTAAGGGTGCGTGAGTTAATATTTAAAGGCTGCTATGCTGTGTGTCCACGGGCGTGTTTGGTTTACTATAGGCTACAATCTCGACTGATTATATTTGTGAGGTATACTCGGTGTATCACTTGGTCAAACGTCAGGTAAGCAGTAATGCATTGCGAGAGGTCATCGGATTGGCTCAGAGGTCAGGGCCGCCACAGCTGAGAAACCTGGGTTCGAACCCAGGTCCCCAGCCCCCGCCAGTGATTGTTGCCGTGTTTTCTCGAGGGAAGTTAGCCGATCGTCTCATCTCCGCAACGGTCTTCCTCTTGGGTGTGTTCCATCCACTGGCTGCTATTCTCTCACCAGACTCGTCCATCAACCATCATCTCTTCTGGCGACGTGTCCTGCCCTAGCCCACTGACTTTTCTCAACAGTCGGTATAATAACAAATAACCACCACTCGTATCGTATTATATACATATAGAACAATATGAGCGAAACATGTATGTACTGTATGTTGGACTTCTTTCGCGCCATACATAGTTGACCGTGCTGATCGTAGGCGCGAGGAAAGGACAACAAACTAAGCACAAAAAGCGGTTGTGGAGAAATGAAAGTACAACCCTCTGTGACTCCACCACTGGACGATGGCCACCCCATTCAGGGTGACGTGGCCACCAGGGACGACTGTAGCGCGCTCACGGATCGATGTTCAAATGCCACACGCGTGAAATGTCTCGCGGGACACATGTCCAAGACGATTAGCGTGCACGTGCGAAACAGCTGGCTCTTCGCTTGCGGTTGAAAACACTTTGACTCGCGCTTTCAACGATCACTTGATCTCCTGCACTCACACTTGGACTCATCACAGACCAAAGAGCACAGAGGGTGACGACTCTCATAATGGGGCAGCAGCCCTTATCGGCCATTGCACGAGAACACCCCGTTACCACACCGGTTGGCTACAAAATGTGATTGCTGCACGCTGAAAGTGCCGAATCGTGGGCAACTCTACCCGTGCCAACAGGACGATTGCTGTTGTTGTACACAATGTACGCGTGCGCACGGCCCTTTTGCCGACCCGCCGCTGCGTGAAAGCCCCTCCCCATGCCGTGCGGGTCGCCGAGGTCGCTTGGCCGTACTTCACCGACCATGCCGGCCAGTGCGGGTTGGTTGAAAATGTGGGGAGCGTATATGCTTAGCGAGCATAGAGCATTGCAACAGTACATTTTGCTGCACTAGCCCTCTGTTGCCCACCACGTGGCCATCCCGGAGCAGACTATGACAACATGGCATGCATGGTGGCCACCCAACCTGAAAGCACTGTCTACACATTTTTTTTTAAAGACCCTGCTTAGCTTCCCAGATGCGATGAGATCGGGCACATCCAGGGCGATTTGGTTATGAGGTGTTTGTCATTTGGCGATTTGGTCGTCTCATTCTGATCGGCTGGGTGGCATCTTCAGCAAAACGTCCGTCTTAGCATGAGTCCTTGCAAGCCCTAGCCAGGCACTAAAGCCTGCTTGAAGCTTCTGAGATGCGACGAGATCGGACACGTTCCGGGTGTTGTTCATTATTTTCTGGGGGTTGAGGGGCAATTTGTTTTGTTAGCCGCTGCTGCTACTGCTGCTGGTGGTGCTCGTGGGTTACCATGCGAGATTGCTCGCGAACCGTGGCAGGGAAAGCCGAGTGTCAAAACCGTCTGCGCAATATACTCGGCTGCGCATTTTTGCACGAACGTAATGAATTGATAAATAAAGCAATCTTCTAGACTGTGTGGTCAAGCTGACCCCTTTACAAGCCCTACAAGTGGCCCAGGTGAATTGCACACATCTGTTTCTTTACAACTTTGGCATTCGCTTTCTAGTCTTGCTGACGTTGGTTTTGTTCAGCGTAAATGATTACAACGATGGATTTTTTTTTCCTGTTTACTTTTTGTGACGTGTTATGACAGTTGTCTTCAGACTGATTTGTGTAACCAGCAGAGCCTGTGTTCCCCCAGGGTCTGTGTTCATATTGCTCCATCCATCGTTTCATCTCGGGGCCGTGAGAGATGGCAACAACTTGGGAAGTCGTTCATCCAGCAGTGGATAGATCATGGCTGATAGCGATGAAGATGACAGTGTACTGTGGTGGGGATCTGGAGGACTAGCGTTTAAAAACATCATCCTAAAACATCCTCAACTCCACGTGGCTCACATCGTTATCTTCATCTTCCAATTCCCTCGACTCTCCCCTGTGACCTTTGCCCCCTCCGTCTGCTGCCCCCCGTCCCACACTCCCTCTCTCTGCCCCCTTTCTTCTCACCTAACCAATGACTCCCCCTGCCCCCCCAACCCCAACCCCAACCTTCTCTCCCATCCAGCGCTGTCGATCCAGCGCAGCCCGATGAACCTGACGGCGTCGGTGGGCGCGTCGGCCGAGCTGACCTGCTCGGTGGAGGGCGACCGCCGGATGGACGTGGTGTGGCTGCGTGACGGCGTCGACTTGGGCGACGTTCTGAGCGATCACGTCTCCGTGCGCGAGTTCACGCGCTTCGGCAGCGACGGACGCGAGCGGCTGCAGGTGGTGCTCAAGTAAGAGATGTTCTCACCCGGTGCCCGCCCGCCTCATTGCCTTCACTGTTTGCCCTGCCCTGGTTTTTCAGCATTTGGAACGTTTTCCAATGACGGTTGAGAGCATTCATGCCGTGGCTCTGTCCATCCGTCTGTCAGTGTGTCTGTCTGTTTTTGCGTTCAGATTATTTTGATTGTTTTTGGCTGGTATAAATTTCCACATGATGAGCCACTTCGTTGAGCTATTTGCAAAATAGTTGTATATAGCTCAGTGGGCCTTGCCTGATAAAAATATAAATAAGTAAATTCGTGGCCAAGTCTCTTCTGAAAAGAAGCTAATAGCTCAGTAGGCTTTACCTGGCAAAGTACATTTTGTATTTGTGTTATGCTTACCTTATACTTTTCACTCCTATTGTGTGTTTGTATTGTTCGTTCTTGGAACTTTCTGGTCCGCCCCTCCTGGACATCTGTGAAAAAATGGCTTTATAACTCATGAGATTCCTCCAGTATAAATAAAGTTTCAGATTCTAACCACCGCTCCATCCTTCCATCCCTCTTTATTAGTAGTTGTCATCACTCATATACAAACGGTCAATTAAGTTAAATTAGATCAGTACTGTAAGCGATTCGGGATTGGGTTGTTTTTTTTTACATGATGAGGGTGCCCCTTGCCAGTAAACAGGATTACTCAAAGCTTTGCAGCAACCTTGCACTCTCATTCCATGCCATCGCGTGCCAAGCCCGGTGCCCCCATCATTGCCAACCCCCTCGCGACATCCCCCCCCCCACCCAAGCGCCCCCCCCCCGCACAAGCCACGGATAAACCCCTGGTCTCCACTCGGTCTTGGCTGGGTCTCGCGTTGGTCAAGGTGGGTGGGAGTATTGGAGCTCAGCATGATACAGGGGCCAGAACAAAAAGCCCCCACGAACACGTTAATGCTTTCTGACTCAATCTCGTTTAGTCACACTTTAATTAAACGACGTACAAAAAGAACACGGAGTAATTGAGTTTACGGAGGCAAGCCTCATCGGTGGCTTGTCACCAAAAAAATGACAATGCTGTTGTTGTTGTTCTGTTTTATTTTTGCTCAATTCATTCCAGTCTCCGTTTATGTACTTGTAAATGCACAGCCCCTATGGTCGATCCACTACCGGATGAAGGCTATGCTGCGCGAGTTGTGCTGATTGTTTGATTAAACTTCACCATGCTGGGCAGTGCGGGTCGGTGAAGATGTGGAACATGGGCGTTAGGGCACAGTTTGTACGATACCAGAGTGGTTTTGTCAGCACGGCCCTGCTGTGACAAGGTAAGTTTGCAGTTGATCTCGTTTGCCCCGGGTGATTATTCAAGAGATCGGGATGGAGTCTCGTTTGCAAGAGTGACCTGGGTGACCAAACTTACAAAATCAATAACATACAATAAAATAGATCAACGAGGCAGATAGAAACCAGAGTAAAAATAAGCGTAGCCCATGCAGCAGCTCACGACACCTGATTTATTGCACAGCGGTCTCGCAACTTAAACAACTAGCCAGGCTCAAAGCCAGCTTGGCTTTGGAGATCTGACGAGATCGGGCACGTTCCGAGTGATCTGGTCGTAGGCGCAGGGTGTTTTCGCTTCCGTCGGGCCTTCATCGCCGTCATTCCTTTGCGGTTGGTAAAACTGGCTCTCCACCTGACGAGGCAGCCAATGCAAATCAGGCATGCTGCATCCACTGCACGTGAATGTAAACACATACATTTGGTGACGCTGCTGGCTGCTGCTTGGGTTGGCAGTGGTGCAATAACACAAGTAGCAACAACAACACAAATAAACTCAATGCATTCGTCTATAACACTGGCCTTTAAAGGAAAAATATAGCAACGAAATGAAAATGTTTTTAATTTTACCAGGTAAGTCCCACTGAGCTTTATGGCTCTTTTTCAGAAGCGACCTGGCTACAAATGATAGCTCAAGAAAGTGGCTTATCACGCGCATTGATTTTTGTGCCATGCAAAAGGGCCATTTGCCGAAACGTCGCCTGTTATATATTTCTTCCCCTTTTAAGGCCACGGTGATAATTACGGACGTGTTGAGTTTTCTGTAAATGGAATGCAAGTGGGCTTGGGCAGAGCACAACTTCATGGCGAGAAAGGATGATGACTGCCGAAAGACGAGACCGTTGAAGGGGGACAATACAGCCACGAGGAAGGAGAGCGGATGAGTTCAGCTCATGCACAAATGAGATGGAACGTGGACGGACAGCCAAAACATGGGTCAGTTATAGTGACAGCAGCATTGCTATCTTGAATTACAATTTACGATTACATCGTCATCGCAATTCATTACAACTAACACAGGACCATAAAAGGCATCTGTACAACAGTTGATAGAACATGACGGATATTGGTGAAGCTCTACCAGTATACAGAAAATCAAGAATAAATCACTAATGGAGGTGAGCAACATAGCCAATGGTTATTAGAGTGTCTCCATTAGTTAATTGGCAGGTCGCGTGTGGTGGGATACAGTGTGGGTGCTCGGACCTCTTCCGCGACATTTGGCCAGTGTGGAAGAGCAGGCCAATTACCCAGTAGATCGGCTCTCGAGATGCCAGTATTGGAGGCCCTTTTTTGCCAGCAGTGGCGTGAGCAAGCAATCGCATGGCTGCACTTTTAGCTTTGCCTTTGCAGTGTCGAGAACAGCCGCTTCGTGACGTCATTTATTGAGCGTTGCGGCTCTTGTCCACTCACACAGTAGGTTGACTATCCTGTCATTACCTCCCGTGGCCACTAGTCCACTCACACCGTAGGTTTGACTCTCCTGTCATTACCTCCCATAGCCACTAGTCCACTCACACCGTAGGTTTGACTCCCCTGTCATTACCTCCCGTGGCCACTAGTCCACTCACACCGTAGGTTTGGCTCTCCTGTCATTACCTCCCGTGGCCACTAGTCCACTCACACAGTAGGTTGACTCTCCTGTCATTACCTCCCGTGGCCACTAGTCCACTCACACCGTAGGTTTGACTCTCCTGTCATTATCTCCCGTGGCCACTAGTCCACTCACACAGTAGGTTGACTCTCCTGTCATTACCTCCCGTTGCCACTAGTCCACTCACACCGTTGGTTGACTCCCCTGTCATTACCTCCCGTGGCCACCAGTCCACTCACACAGTCGGTTGACTCCCCTGTCATTACCTTCCGTGGCCACTAGTCCACTCACACCGTAGGTTGACTCTCCTGTCATTACCTCCCGTGGCCACTAGTCCACTCGCACAGTAGGTTGACTCTCCTGTCATTACCTCCCGTTGCCACTAGTCCACTCACACCGTAGGTTGACTCCCCTGTCATTACCTCCCGTGGCCACCAGTCCACTTACACCGTAGGTTGACTCCCCTGTCATTACCTCCCGTGGCCACTAGTCCACTCACACCGTAGGTTTGACTCTCCTGTCATTACCTCCCGTGACGACTAGTCCACTCACACAGTAGGTTGACTCTCCTGTCATTACCTCCCGTGGCCACTAGTCCACTCACCGTAGGTTTGACTCTCCTGTCATTACCTCCCGTGGCCACTAGTCCACTCACACAGTAGGTTGACTCTCCTGTCATTACCTCCCGTTGCCACTAGTCCACTCACACAGTAGGTTGACTCCCCTGTCATTACCTCCCGTGGCCACCAGTCCACTCACACAGTCGGTTGACTCCCCTGTCATTACCTCCCGTGGCCACTAGTCCACTCACAGCGTAGGTTGACTCCCCTGTCATTACCTCCCGTGGCCACTAGTCCACTCACACCGTAGGTTGACTCTACTGTCATCACCTCCTGTGGCCACTAGTCCACTCACACCGTAGGTTTGACTCTCCTGTCATTACCTCCCGTGGCCACTAGTCCACTCACACAGTAGGTTGACTCTCCTGTCATTACCTCCCGTGGCCACTAGTCCACTCACACAGTAGGTTGACTCTACTGTCATTACACTTGTATGAGTGTCACAGTGGGAGCAGTAGCAGTGACCATAAGAACGGAATATCATTACACAACGGCTAAAACCAAACAGTTGGCACGAACGGCGACAGTAAGGAGGCACGCGGTTGAGTTATGAGTTGGGCTCAGTATTTCCTGCAGAAGTGGAAATTTGGCTTGTGCTACTCCAAACCGTTGGTGGTGGTTTGGGGCATTGGGGGGGAGGGGGCAGTCATGCCGGAACACAGCAGCCTGCCGTGTTGCGTCACATTGCCTGCGAAGCTGCCTTCACTGCCAGCCGCCCTCTTGATTGCAGCGAGCTCCTTCGCGCAGAGGCCCTCGGCTTTGTCTTCCATGCCAAAGCCATCCTTAGCTCTGTGCAGGGAGGGTTGTGGCACCGCGCTGGCAGCGGACGCGCAGGCACTGCAAACAAAAGATCAACCAATGCACAATTGGCCTGCTGTGGAGAAAGGCCACTACCCGAAACGTCGCCAATTCGTAAATTAGTTTTCCTCCCATGTGCAGCGGTTTTGGTGAATGTCTTCCATTTTTGTTACTTCTTCTGTAACTCCGAACAATGATTGCGATGGTACAAATCATGAATTTGGCCAAAGTTGGAATACCGCTGCCATAGCTGGAGTGGAGCACCCAGCTCCTGCCTCACTGCGCCAGGTTAAAATTTATTCCTCCACCCACTTTGAGGGCCATGTCTACAAGACTGATTGTTTTGTCTCATCCACCACACTGTAGGTCATAACAACTCACCCACCCACCCACTCACCAACTCACCCCTTCACCCACTCATTCATTTACTAACTCACCCATTCACACTCTCACTCATCCCACTCACCGCACTGCCACACTGCGGATCGCCTCACTTCACTTTCCGCCGGTTCCAGCCCACCGCTCCACTTTGGAATTCCCTCCCTTAGTTTCTTTCCCCCAAGCTCTGATAATGACAACCTCGCTCAACAAAAGAAACGTATTCACTCTTCATCAATTACACCTCCAGTCGACGCTGTCTTTGTCGCTAGCCGCTTGTGTTATTTTGGGTCTCTGGGCCTGCGTTCCGCAAAACTACGCTTTAGTAATTGGCACCCCGTCAGTGCCAATTCGGAGACGCTCTTGCGGTCCTTTCTGGGTCGGCGATCCGTGCCTTGTTTTGACCCAGCCAAGCCGTCGTGCACAAAATGCTAATTCAGCCGGGCCGCTGTGTGCTCGTGAACAATTTACCCCCGCGGTCTCTTCGAGCGAGCACTCCCGATGAATGGGCTTGTGTCCGCCACGCTGGCAACGTCGCGGTCTCTTCTTCCAACTGTGACCGACCGTCGCGTTTTCGGTTTGTTTGTCACTCGCAGTGGTAGTTGTTTCATCTGCAACACACATTTTTGTTGCTTTGTTTATATACATTTTATTTTAAGGTCTTAATTTCTGTTTATTTCGGTCGCTCTGTGCTCTGCTTTGTTTAAAAAAAAAATTTGGCATTCTGGCAACCCTGGCTCACTCTCGCAAGTGAGGCTTGTACCCCTGGTCTCTTTAAGTTCTCACCTGGCTAAACAAAGTAGCCTTCAAACCTAAACTTCCTCCATCATCATCATCATCACCACCACCATCATCTGCTGGATGAAGGCGACCCAAAGTCATCACCATCACGCACGGTCCTGCGACGTAAAAATCCACGTCGCTCCTGCAAACGAGTGGGATCTCATTGCTCCATCTCCGCGGCGGACGTGATCTCGGGCGCGTTTCCTCCGTTGGCTGCCGCGACATCGTTTCTTCTCACCCACCGGCCACCGTCCGTTCTCGCCACGCTTACTATTCTCAACAGTAAACCATTTATATGAGTAAATTAATTGTCAATGCACTCTGTCAGCACTGACCTTCAAAGAGAGAGGGGGGTGGGGGGGGGTGGAACTGCATAAACATTTTAAAACGATAATAACAATAATAAAAACTGGTGTTTAGTACGAGCGGGTCCGAAACCTGTTGAACCCATTGAAATTTTACGTCTGCCCCGCTCCCTTACACAATCCCATACCCCCCCCCCCCCCCCCACAATGGTGCTGGCCTTTCCACTGTGTGACTCGTATCATGAACCGGGCGAATGTAAATGATAAGCAGAATTATCCAAAATTATTGGATCAAATGTAAATTTTGGTTTGGTCGTTGCCTTAACCCCGTTGGCATGAACTCCATAACGCGAGCTTCTAAAACGACCCCTCACTTTGGTGGAGTGGTCGAGGATGAGGTTTTATTTTTTTTTGGACAAACGTACACAAAAACTGTCAAACAAACAAAACACGCGCACAGATTTGCCCCTTCGCATGAAAGCCTCCCGACAACGTGCCACGCACCGGGGGTCGTTAGGCTGTAGCTCGCCTCGCTGCTCGCTGCCGGTTTGTGAAAGGGGGCGAACGTCCCTAGCCACTCATGTCAGCCGTGGCCGGGAATCGAACCGGGCGGGGTGGCGGGTTCAGTGCATTGCACCGACCGCCGCGCCCAATTTACTTTTATTAACTGCGATAAAAAAAACCGACTTTAGCTCTGCTTTGCGAGCTTTACAACTCTTCTCGAGCAGCGGATTGATTTCTGGATTAGGGAATAAATCTTTGCATTTTTGGTCCAGTTGATTCCTTTTTTTTTACACTCACTTATTCATTTTAAAGTAGTTTATTGATTAACGTATCAACGAGGCTAAGCCTCTGTGGTTTTAATCCGAGCCGGTATGTTCCCCGCAGGTGTGGTAAGGGTTGCGGTAAATCTCAGTTCACGGCGCTTGAAAGGTGCCGTGATCTGTGACTGAAACGGAGAGAACACGCTGACATTCCACGAATTGCCACAAAATGTATTTTACTTCTTCAAACAGCTATGCACCCTAACCGTGTCAACTCATTTTAGTTTTTAAAGAAAAAGAGAGGCATGTCTATCAATTCAACCTGTTGTCGTAGCTATATCCGCCAGATGACCACTCGACAACCTCAGCTGTTTTCATCAAACGTTGGCTGGAATCGCAATTGAGCGGTGGCACAGTGGTTAGCGCACTGAGCCATCAACCTAGGCAGCCTGAGTTCAATTCCCAGCCACGGTCCTGGCGGGTCGGGAGGGGGGTTTCCCCTCTTCAGCAACCCAGGACGGACCAAGATAGTGAAGTATGGTCAAACAACCTCAACGTTTTCTCTTTCGGTGCGGCGGCTGCGGCGGCGGCAGCCGTTCCCTGCTCTGTTCGTTCGCCGAGTTGAGCCAAGAGCCGTGTTGTACGTACGTATGTACGTTGAACCTCTTTCTCACCGGACATAGGCAACCCTTCCCACCTCCCACTGTCAATGTTCCAGCCACTTGCCCACGAGGCCACGGGAGACCGCAGTAGCGGTGTTGAATTTGGGGGAGCCGCAGTGGTGAGATTTTTCACTACCTCACCTGGTATACTGGAGTTCGTGGGTTCGATCCCGACCCTGACTCCTGGACATGGAGTTTGCATGGAGTTTCCACATTTAGAAACATGCGTTTATAGTATTCTGCTGCTTTAAATTTCCATGTGGCAAGTGCCTTCGTTAAGCTATCATTTGTGATAACCAGGTCGCTTCTAAAAAATATCTAAATAGCTCAGTTGGCCTTACGTGGTTGGTTAAAACAAAAAAAACAGCTCGTGTCGCACGCCACGATCTGTTCGCTCCAAAGAGGAACATCGGGAGATGAGGAGGAAGAGGAGATGTTTTGGTCACGTGGGAGCGTCCGCGTGGACGCGATGGGGCGCACGCTCGGATCCATTGTCTCTGCTCCGCAGACCGAGTTCACACGGCCCCGGGCGATGAAAGTACATTCAGCCCTCCCCACCCCCCCTTTTGTAGGTGGGGTTTTCAGGCTCCGCAGCCTTGCTCTCTCTGGCTTGCTCCTCTTACACCACGACTCAAAAGCTAACTTTGTCATTGCCCAATCGGCGAGTGCTCCGTTATTGCGCTCAACGCAACGACGCGAAGATCATGACTCGTGTCACCTTGGAGGGTCTAAAAGGTCACGAAATTGAGATGTTGACAATATGCCTGCCTTCCCATATTTGTCTCTCGAAATTAAATAAAAGTTGGTGTCTTTTTTTACACATCCCATCAACTGCCACGGCCTTCTTGCCCAGTGCATGTTATCATCAGCATTGCTTTCAGAGAAGCAAACTCTGCACCGGTTGAGAGACAATCAGTGTCTTGCCATGTCTGTTTTCCATCATTATCATCATCGGCAGCAGAAGCCTTGGTCAATCCACTGCTGGATGAAGGCCTCCCAAAAACTGCTGCCATCTCTCACAGACCTGCGATGTAACGATCCGCCCAGAACCTGCACACGCGCCAATTTCATCGCTCCATCTCCTTGGTGGACGTGACCCACTACACTCACTTGCGAACCCAGCTTAACCTCAGTTGGGTGGCTCAAACCCACATTCGAACTCGGGATCTCAGACACCCCAGTAAACGTGGAACTTTGGAGCAACGCTGATCCGACGGTCCCAACCACATTCCAACGTTGGGGGCCCAACATTCGAATAATTACTGGGTCGGCTTGCTGATCCACTGAGCTCTACCCCAGTCACCTCTCACTATTATTGTTACGTAGTTCATTTTCTAACAAGGTGGAACTGTCTGCTCGTGTTCCAAGGATTCACCCCGTGGCGCGCACCGACGCGGGGGCGTACCGCTGCCGCGTGGAAGAGGGCCAACGGGTGCTGCTGTCGGACGAAGGCTTCCTCAGGGTCGAAGGTCAGTGGGTATACCACTTCACGATCTTTAATTTTCCTCGAGCACATGAAGGGATACCTCGTTTGGAGGCAAAGAACGGATTCGCCGCCTCATCCCTCGCTAGTCGCTGAGGCTGCCTCTCCGTGGCTGCAGGGAGTCAAGTGAACCCACTACGTACAACTCATCATCATCATCAATCAGCCATGATCTTTCCACAGCTGGGTGAAATTTTCAGATAGCTTGCTTTTTTTTCCTCTGCCCATGACTGCCTCTCTCTCTCTGTAATAAATAATGCTCACTGTTGCCGCGTGGCGTCGTGAGGTGCGATCGCGTTCATGTACATATATGTACGTTGAACTTCTTTCGCACCATACGTAGCCAACCGTGCAGGGGGAAGGACAACAAACTAAACACAAAAAAGTCAGTTATGAGAAAATGACTTTCCAGTCTAGATTCAAAAACGCATGGCTCCAGCCGCTTCCTAATATCGGAAGGAAGAGCGTTCCAGACGGCCGCAGAAGCGCATCTAAAAGCGCGCGATGCGACAACCGCCTCTCTTCGATAGCCACACAACAACCGCTGCTGCGAGGACGACCGGGGTTCGCGTGATGATGGTTTTAAGCTCCTCGACGAGATCAGCAAGGTATCGGTGTTCATTTGTGGCAAGCGCTCTGCGTGTGTCGTGAGTACGACCTATATATATCGTATCCGTTCGGCAACCGGAAGCCAATGCAATGTCGTAATTGTGACTCGTACGGTGCGCACCGCCCTCTCCCGTCTCTCTTTTGCCAGGGCTGCCGAGTTTCACGCAGGACCCCGCGAGCGTGAGCGTGTTGCGGGGGGCCGCCTTCAACGTGACGTGCGCCGCCGAGGGTCCCCCCGATCCCGTGCTCATCACCTGGTTCCGTAACGGGGCCCCCCTCAACCACGTGGAGGTGTCCCCCTCCGTGCTGCTCGTTCGAGGTGCGTGCGTGCGTGCGGGTTTGGGACGCGACGGAACTCCCGTAGGCCACGCGGGTCTTGGTTCGTTTGTTTGTTGATCTCTTAAGTCATCTGCGCACCACGAGACAAAGGATTCGTTCGGATCTCTCATAGGGGCGCGTTCCAAATCTACGTGCGCACAGAAGCAAATATCTGGTTTGTTGCCGCGCGCGCGTGTTGGCCGCGATGTCCGACGTTCCGCTCCGTTGCCGAGAGCTTCTTCAGTTGCGTCTGCAGTGAGACCGGGCACGTTTGAGGGCGATGCGGTCACGTGGTCTTTGGCGGTTTGGCGAAAGTTGGTGCGTCTTACTCCGATTGGCCGGGTGGCATCTTCAGTAGAACGCCTGTCTTGGCACAACAGGGTCCCCCCCTGTGTCCTCTCGCAACAACGTGAACATTGTGAGCGCACGTTTCAGCAGAGAGGAATGTCTGTGCCTTAGAATGTTCGTAAACAACACATTAATGAATGAAACAAAACACCCATGCCCCCGTAAAAATGTACACGATAGCAATTTTATCAGCGATATTTTTTTTGTTTATCAAGAATCTGCCGACCAGACTTATGATGATGATTCACCCCCCGCCTGCACCTAGAGCCATCCCCCCTCCATCGCCCCCCTCCTCCTTCGCATTTACATTTGATGAATTATCACACTTCGGGGTCAAAATTCCGTTCAAGAACCAATTATTTATATGCATTTGCATCGTGGTCAATTGTAACGCCTCTACTGGCCGCGGAGGTCACAGGACCTAATGGCATGCGACGTCCACAAAGAGAGGGATTAAACCAACCCACACACTGACCAGCCTGGTGAAGTATGGTCAAACAACCCCCAGGACCAACGTGACGACGTGGGGAGCCTTTCATCCAACAGTGGATTAACAAACCGCTGTTGATTAGTCTTACTTTTTTTACGGTGATACAACGTCCGTGAGCTTTATGAAGTATGCAGGCGGTGCAACTGCACCGAGGCCTGACGGGGAAACCGGAGAGGCCTGAATGGGGAGGGGGGGATATGGGGCGAAGGGTGGGGGGTGCACGGGGGCGGTGGAGGGGTACCGAGGAGGAGGTGGGGGGGGGCCCATTATGTTCCTTGCACCAGGGCCCTCGACAGCTGCGGTTGCGAAACTCTAGGGACCCACATGAGCTGAACATCTCAAGCGCTGGAATTGGATGACACTGCGTATTTTTTCATCTGGTGGAACAAGCAAAGCATTTTAAACTGTTCCCATTGAGCCGTAAAGATAGAGATGTGGACGAGGGTGGGGAGGCACGGCAGAGTTCGGGGGCTACTCATCCTGTATGCGTGTTTGCCGACTCGGCATATAAATAAGAGGAATAATGAGAAAAATCTGCAGCTGCTCACACTTTTATTTGCCTGTTTGCATAACGTTGGTCATTCATATAAAGCAAGTGGCAGAAGTGGGGAAATTATTTTCCCATTGTGAGCAGAGTTATGTAACCAGAGCTTGCTTAGTCATGTGGTGTTGGTATTCGTATTGTTTATGAAATGCGACTCTGCAGGGAATGATGCAGCATTGGACGAATGCTTTGAAATCTATTTGTAAATTGTTTAACTTAGAAGAAGAAACTATTTACGTGCTTTGACGTGCCTCTGTCGTCACATACGAGGGTCTGTACAAGGTTTACTCGCGCAATCCACTGCTGGATGAAGGTCTACCTGCTAGTGATGCGTCTGTTGAATGTGGAAGGGGCCCAGTTGGCGTTGGGCTATGAAGAGGAGGCAAGGTGGGGACGCATGGGGTTTGTTTGTCCATACTTCACCACGCTGGTCAGAGTGGGTTGGTGAGTGAATGGTGGGAACCAGGAACGGTTCAGGTACTACTTGCCCACTGATGTTAGCCGTGGTCAGGATGTATGTTGAACTTCTTTCGCAACATACACAGCCAGTCGTGCTGATTGGAGATGTGGGTGTGAAGGACAACAATCTCAACGCAAAAAGCAGTTCTGCAACAATGAGTTTTCAATATAGATGACATCAAAGTGCACAGCTCCAGTGGCATCCCAATATCAGAAGGAAGACTGCCGCAGAAGCGCATCTGAAAGCACGCGATGCGGTGGCAGTCTTTGTTCGATGCCTCGCCAAAAGTCGCTGCTGCTGCGTGATGGTTCATGCTGCTTGAGATCAGAAATATGTTGTGGTTCATTTGTGGCAAGCGCTTTGAGTGTAATGAATGCGAACTCTGGTAGCTGGGTTTATAGCGGAGGCTGCTAACAAAGGCGCCACCGCTCCACCACTCTAGATTTAAATGCCCCGTTTGCTCCGTGCTGCATTCTTTGCCAAAGAAGCTTCCAAGCTCCCGGCACGTGTCGCGAAACATCGGACACCGTGCTCAACAGCACGCGTGGCACGACCTGAAAACACCATCAGATATGGTGATGATTGGGATGCCAAAGTGGCGAGATGTTAACTACTTCGCCTTGTATACAGGAGGTCGTGGGTTCGATCCCGACCCTATACTTTGCGTGTCTCTCTCCCTGTGGTCGCGTGGAATTTTCTCCGGGTCCTCCGGTGTTTCCCTCCACGATTTAGAATCAACATCACGCGTTTATTGTTTTTGGCTGCTATAAATTCCCACATGATGATAAGCCACTTCTTTGAGCTTTCATTTGTGGCCAGGTCGCTTTTTAAAAAAAAAAAAGCTATGGAGCTCAGTAGGGCCTTAGCTGGTAAAATAAAATAAAAAGGGTTTAAATAATTTAAATTTGTCGCCCTATCTCCAAGGCCTACAGGGCACAGGGCACGCGACAACGCGGACACAGGGCACGCGACAACGCGGCGATTGTACACAGCTCAGGGGCCCGCGGGGCGGGACAGCGATCCTTGTAAACAGCAGCGCTGCTCTGCTAAAAAAAATTCCATTCATTCCAGGAGTGAGGAAAAAAAAACGCTCTTATCCTCGGACAGAACGGGAACACATTTTTTTTTTATGCCGAGGGGCATTTTTCACGATTTATTATCTATATAAATTTTTTTAAAGCCGAACATATTTTTTTCAGTTTTGAAAAAAAAATTTGGATAGAAACCCTTCGTGGGTCACTGATAACACGTGTCCTTCCAAGACTATCAGGTTGTGTTCAATTACTGCGGAACGATGCGCATTAGATACTTCATAATTGACTCATTGGCGAGGGCTTTGGGCGCTGGGATGGTGGCGGGATGTTTATCTCCGTCGCTCAGTGAGCAGGATGCGTGGGTTCAATCCCGGACCCTGGCGATGCCTGTTGTATAATTTATATTTGGAGTCCGGGTGTTCTGTCTTTCTCTCCTCGTGGTGGATTGAGAATCAACACGCATTTATATGACTTAGCTGCTCCTATTAATTCCCACGTGCGATGGTGATAGCAGCCACTATCAATGAGCTGTCATCGTGTGTGGCCAGGTCGCCTATGAATGACGAGAGCTCATAGCCCAGTGGGCTTTACCTGTAAAAAAATGAATTACAGGTGTTAACGTTTTTTAGTTTTTGTTTAAGTTTTCTGCAGTGCCCCACATATAAACCCGGGTTCGCCGGGTTCGTCGCGCAAAGCACGAACCATGATACTACCACTCCCACCACACGTATGACCTTGACCCTGTACACAACACACAGTGATCCCCCATATACTCTTAACAGGCTGTTGGGGCAAGTGCTGTTAGCGAATTGCATCTTTGAAGGCTGACATGGCACACGAGGGAGTGGGTGGCCCGCACCACGCCCTGCACACACCAATACCAATACCCACCATTCTCCACTAAGTAATGGTGACATCACCATGGTACCGGTGCCAGGCCTGGTGCACCTTGAAGTCACGTGAAGTGTCAAAGGCTCCCTGACAGGAGGTTTCTGGACAGACCCAGGTGCCATGGGTTGGCTGACCGTGATGACCCGTAGATACACCAGCTGTACCCACTACTGTACCAACTGCACACACACAGACACACACAGCCCACGGAAATAGCAGCGGCTGCGTTTGGCTGCGCTCCGTGTACCGTCGCGTTTCCACTTTTTTAGTTTTTGCGGAAGAAAAGTGGCGCTCGACCGCTCTCGCGAAATGCTCGCGTCTCCCCCCCCCACCCCCCGCACGACGTTGAACTCGAACAACAACAAAAACACAAAGTAATCATTACAAATCAAGCGCTTGGTACACAGGAGGTCGTGGGTTCTATCCCGACCCTGGCACCCGCTGTATATTTGGAGTTTGCGCGTCTCTCTCTTTCTATCTTCCCGTGGTCGCGTGTTCTTTTTTTTCTCTGGGTCGTCCGGTTTTTCCCTCCAAATTTAGAATCGACATGCGTTTCGAGTATTTGGCTACTGCAATACATTTCCGCACGATAAGCCACTCTGTTTAGCTAACATTCGTGGCCAGGGCGCTTCTGAAAAAGAGCCATATAGCTCAGTGGGCCTTACCTGGTGAAATAAAATTTGTTTATACTTTAGTGGAGTGTTGTTGCGTTGTTGTTGTGGGCCTTTGATGTTATCTCGCTGCTGCTGCTGCCACTGTCTTTACACTACCCCGCCACTACCGGATCCACACGAGCGTCAGGCTCGCTTGAGCGATAAATCCTCGTTGTCGCAAATTTCTAAATTACCTGCAGATTACTCAATTGGGATAACGCGTTGCAATCATCGCCCCCTTAACTGTGAAGCTACTGTAAACCGTGTCTGTAAAACTTCGTGCCTTCCTGATATCCTTCCCGCTAAAAGAACGATCGCGCGAATACCAAAACGTCCTCACGATTTAATTTATTTTGCTTCATCAACGGCATCGATGACCCCATGCTCTTCTCCTTATTTGTCCATGCTTCCAACCAATCTCTGCGACTTTCTCAAACGCTTCTTTCCAATGGCCCTTGGCAAACCCACCTTGCGTTTATCATTTCCCGACGAGCGACGGGGCGCGGTGATCAAACCCGGGTCGCCGTCTTGGGCGCTGCGCTTCGGTCGTGCCGGTCCTTGCTCGAAAATTGGCAGCAGATGTCAGGTCGGCACGCAAATTTGCGCGGCTCTGCTGATCGGATTTTAAATTATTTTCTTTTCAGTTTTTTTTTTTTTTTAGGATTTGTTCAGAGGCTGCGGCTTCAGCGAACATTTTTTTCTGTTCCCCCAGGAGAGGAGACGAGCGCCAAGTATTCGTGCCACGCTTCCAACGCGAGGGGCGTCAGCGTCTCCCACAATGCACTGGTCAACATCAAAGGCGAGTCGGGCAGCACTCTCTTTTTTCTGTTCGGGGGCTCCTTTTAGCCGGGCTCGGTCACCAACCTCGACATTTACGTTTTTAGATTTTCACACATTATCTCATCGTGCGCCGGAAGGAGAATCTGGCAGCGGTGGCCACGCTCGCTGCACGTGGCTGCCTGTAACGCAGCGCTGTGTAGGCAGCAGCGAAGGTTGGTGGATCGCGCACACACACACACACAGATGTTGCGACACTCCCTTCCCGTGGGGCGTCGAGTAGGAGCCGTACCCTTGCTCACCAGAAGGAGGTGGTACAGCAGAATGTGGACTAATATCATCTGTGCGTGGTTGCCCACTGGTTTCCCCCTCACTCACAAGCATGGGTTTTCTCCGGATGCCCTGGCTTCCTCCCTCGTGTTAACTCATTAACTGTCTCTCTCTGTATCTATTTCCCTGTCTCTGTGTCTCTCTCCCCATATATCTCTCCCTACCTCTCCCTCTGCCTCTCCCTGTGTCTCTCTCCATGTGTCTCACTGTGTCGCTCTTACCATCTCTCGCAGTTTCTCTCTCTCTGTCCCCCTCTTTCTCCCTGCCTCTCAATGTGCCCCCCCTCTCTTTTCGCCGTGCCACACTCACAGTCGTGCCCACCGCCCCTGGGTCCGTGTCTGTGCCGAGGGCGGCCGCCCACTCCCTCAACGTCTCCTGGGTGCCCGGCTTCGAGGGATTCTCCACCATCGCGAGCTGCGTCATCCAGGTGGCATGGCACTCCTCCACTGTCGCAAATAAACACATAAATCAATGAATAGGAATAGAGGCGGCCGGGAGGTTCTGAGGTTAATGGCAACTCGGCCGACATCGCTGAGAAACCTGGGTTGGAATCCAGGTTTCGGCCACCTGTGCAGAGTAGGGTTGAAATATATCAAGGATTGGGATTCAAATGTAGGTGTGCTAAGGTGGTCAGGTGACTCATGGGGTGGCAAGGTGACTCATGGGTCAGAGGCACTGCTGACAAGCCAGCTGAGTTGGAGTCCAGGTTTCAACCACCCATTGTTATGCTGGGTTCTCAAGCCAAGAGAGTCGACAGTCTCAGATGGACCGGTCACCAATGACTGCATGAGAAGAAGACATCGCGTTAAATTTGACGCCACACTCAATTTGGCTGAATTCCAGAGAATGAAAAATATCACGTTTGACCGTCTCGTGACGAGCGTCACTTTGCTGCAGTGTGCTTGAGAAAGTGCTGACCCATACTGTGTGGATAAGAGGGCACTTGAAAGGGATCTCAGAAGCAGTTCTGTGATATCCCCTTCCATGGGCCATTTTCATGACATCACAGCTGTAGGAGGTTTGGAAATACAACGTGAAAAAAAAATGAAAAAAATTGCCACGATTAAAAGGGGAGTGAACGTGCCCATTTGGGCGTCCACCGGGGAGATTGAGCAATGACTCCGGCTTGTGCGCAGATGCTGGGAGGATTGCTGCATCACGAAACCATGAAGAAAGGTGACAGATTGGGGCTGCATTCATCCAGCAGTGGATGATCATGGCTGATGATAATGGTGATGAAAGGCATAACTTAAATGCATTTTGTCCTCTGCTACCAGATTCTAAGAAAGGGCCTCACCTCGGACGCCAGCATCACCAGCAGACCCACCCTCACTCCACATGGATTCACCTCTACCGCCTCCACCACAAACCCCTCCACCACAAACTCCTCTACCACAAACTCCTCTACCACAACCGCCTCCACGGGCCCTGCCCCCATGCCTCGTGGCTCCGCCTCCAGCACGACAGCCAATGAGCAAGCCTGGGAGGTCACTGCCGCCCCCTTTCCGAGCTGGCACGTGATTGAAGGATTGGCCGCCATGGCAACGTACCAGCTGCGAGTCGCCTGTGACAACGAGGTCGGCCGCTCTGATTGGTCGGGTTGGTCACAAGGCAACACCACGGAAGGGGGTAAGTGTAAGCAGGTGATGACGTTTATTAATAACTATGAGATGTTTACATTAACTTTTGTTTACCTGTGGACGCAGGTTTTTGCAGCCCATATTATCAATCATAAGTGATTTTTGGTTAAAGCCACAATGACGTTGTCCCACGAAAAATATTTGTTATATATTGATTTTAAATAAATGAAATCTATTTTTAATTAAAATTGGTTGTGGGAATTGTTCTTAAACTTACCGGCGAGTGAGCTGCAACAGCTAATAACCGGCGCGATGAACGCTTGTGCACCACGTGACAAATGCCATTCGTTCGGCCATGTCAGGTGGCGGGAGGGTTGGACGACCGCGACTTCGGCCCGGATCATTACGCGGCCAAACCTCCAACAAATCAACAGTGAATCTTCCTTCAAAGGAATCATTTCGACCGCTCGTTCATTTTAACGTGCTCTTCCAACGCCTCGTGTGTCGCCGTGCGCCCAGTGCCGGAGGTGGCGCCCGAGAACGTCTCGCTGATGCAGAGCGGGGACTGGATCGACGTGACGTGGGCAGAGGTCCCTCCGACGCTCGCCAACGGCGCGGTGCGCGGTTACCGTCTGATCTACTCGGTGCATGGCGCCCCACCGGTACGGCACTGCCATAATCGTCGTTGTCACCCGTGATCTATCCACGGCTGGCAGAGGTAGTAGATGCGTTTCTGAAAAGTGCCACGTTCAGTGAAAACGCGTTAAACGAGGAGTTACTGCTACCGGGAATCACGTTTGTGCCGTGAACTCGGCCTGCCGTCATGCCGTGGCGGGACAAAGAACTGAGATGAGGGTACGCCTCCGTGTACCGTATCGTTTGGCGTACCGTATCGTGCCGCTCAGCCGCGCATCTCAAGAAAGTATTTCGTCGTCGACCGCTCAGAAACCGCCTTGTAACGGTGCGAGTTCCGCGTTGTGCGAAAAGTGTTCTTCTTCTTCTTCGGTCCACAGGGTTATTGACGAAACGCGTTGCCTCGCCTTGTTGTTCGTGTTTGTGCACCACTGGCAACGCAGCAGCGGCATCGGTTAATTTGCGCGTTAAAAAAAAGATGATAGCAACGGCGACAATGCCAATAACGATTGACAGCCTACTGCCGACGCGTGCGGTGCCGCGCTCGCCCGCAGGAGGCTCTGGACGCGGGGAGGAGCGCTCGGGCGCGGCTCAACGTCTCCGCCACGGACGGAGGCAACCTGACGGTCCAGGTGCTGGCGTACACGGCGGCAGGCGACGGGCCGGCCAGCGCCGAGCTCACCGTTCACCTCCACCAGACCGGTGAGTACTGCGCGGCAGGGCCGGGGGGAGGGGCCTTCATCCGGCAGTGGGAGAGGCCGTGGCTTCGTGCTACTTCACTCTCACAGCTGGGCTGCGGCCGCCCACGGGCCAAGCCCACCGGCCCGTTTTCTCCGGGCCCGAGGGTCGATCGGCACCAAGCGGCCTGCGCGCCGCCGCGCTGCCCCCCGCCGTTTGTCGCTGTCCCCCCCCCCACCCCCCCCTCCCCCCTGCGGTCCGTCGCTGCCCTCCGTTCGGGACCAAGTCCCCCGAACTGTCGCGCCACGCCTCGGCTGTAACCTTCGACCTGCGTAATCATCTCTGTGTTGGCCGTATCTGTCTGGCTGTCTCTCTCTGGGTCTCTGTATAAAATGTGGGAGAGTGGGTGGGTGGGGTGGGGGCATGGTAACTCTGGTAAACTCAATGCGACGAGAAATGAACTTATACTTTAAGTGTAAAAGTTGTGTCGCTATTCAGGACTTGCAATAAATGAGAACCGGGGCCACATTGATACAAAAAAAAGGCGCAGAGCAGAACAGGAAAGACCACGACCGTGTTTGCAAATACACAGGCGAGTTTTGCCCTGACGGCTACCTCTGGGCTTCCGGAGTGCGGATCGAATACTTCCGGACGAAAGTGGTGCATGTTGGAATCGCGTGTTGCGTGAGCCAAGGTGTTGCGATGGCGTGTTGCGTAATCCACGCCCGAGCGTGAATTTCTTCGACTTGTTTTTCAACGTGCCCTTCGCCACTCCCCCCTTCCCCCACCGTGTGAAGACGTCCAACGGAGGCGCCACAAATCTGCGTGCGTGCCTAAAACGGGGGGGAGGGGGCGTCAGCTGCTGTGGGAAGACGCAGTGCTCTCCTGCATTGTGAAATGAGTCATTGTTTTATGATGGGGAGTGGAAACGCAGGCAAGACAGATATGGGTGGGCTGGTGGGTGTGTAAGCAGTTGGTGGGTGAGTCGTGCACAGGTAGTAGGGCAGACAGGTAGGAGGATAGATCAGAAGGGGGTTAGACAAGTATGTGGGCAGACAAGATAGGCGGGTAAATAGGTTGGTAGGTTATTTAGTTGGTTGATATTATGGGGTTTTTTTCAGTTTGAACATGCAATGTTCAGAATCAGAATCGTTATTTATCCTGGAGGTGGAATCCGATGAGCTATGAAGCTCTTTTCCCACAGATGTCCAGTATGGGCGTGTCAGCAAGTTGCATCAACAAACGATACAACAACAAAAACAACAAAAACGATGGGAGTGCAAAATATAGAAAAAGTAAGCAAGTCACGAAAATAAAATAAATAAAAAGTACAAATTGCATGAGTGCATTAATTGCTGCCGATTTTTCAACGCCACATGCAAGCTTGGCAAGGCAGCAAAACAACAACAACAATAGTGCCAGACCACACAAAGAGCACGCACAGCCCCTCAATAAAATTGCACATTAAAATTGAACTGTCGTAATGTTCAAAGTAACGACTCTGTGCGAGTCGTTTGGTGACCGAGCTGAGCCCATCAACTTGCTACCCGGTTTGAAATGCTGTGGCAAATGTTAGTCATGCCTTTTTTTAGTTTGTTGAGTCTGTGGAGCACAACTAAAATAATGTGAGGCAAGCAAGCAGATTTGACGATAGCCAGACAGACGGTTAGACAAACAGAAAGATAATCAGATGGACAGAACGCCAGGCAGTCAGACAGGCAGGGGAGAGACAGACAGACAGGCGGGGGAGAGACAGACAGACATCGATAAACAGGCAGACAGACCAACATGCAGACAGACAGACAGACACACGCACACAGAGAAAAAAAACAATATTATCCTGCCCTGACCCAAACGCTCCAGATGGAATCTCAGACGAGGCAGGTTGTGCAGGGTGCAACGTGGCGCGGACGACTTCCTCTGCATCGCAAAAGCCAAACGCCACGTTTTCACTACAAAACCATCATTATCATCATCACGCCCTCTCCGGCTCCCTGGGAGGCGTCATGGAAAAAGGAGTATAAAACTTTAAAACATTTATTTTTTAATTTTAAAAGGGTAAGGCCCCACTGAGCCACGTAGCTCTTTTTGCAGAAGCGACATGGCCATCACACATGAAGGGTTATCGCGTGGAAGCGTCTTGCGGACAAACACCCCGGACGCACGTTTGATTCTGATGCCGCCCGCATCGTCACGTGACGAGACGGAACGCTCGCGGGCAGCGGCGCCTCACCTCATGCCAGAGAAGAAGAGGATGTCACGGAACTACGTATGAAGTAACTTGCAAATAAGCCTCTCTCTCCACACACTGGGCACAGAAACCCCGCAAGGAGTGTTTGTCGTGCATCGGTAAACCCAAGCATTATTCATTTTTTTATTTGAAGCTTTCGTGACTGCAGGAAATCCATACTCTTTGGTTCTTTCGGTAAAGTCACGTGGGTAGAAAATAAAATAAATCGGTGATTTATTTTAAATCAGTGAAAGAACCAAAAAGTATTATTCATTTTCTGTAGAATTGGAATCGTTCTCCACCCACTCCCACGTCCCGGAAATTTGAAATATCCACAACTCCATCAGTGTGTCTCCACGTAAGTCCATTGATCTCTACTTGAGCATTTTGGTGTCTACGTTAGCATATAGGTCTCGATATAAGTCTACGGACCTCTGTGCGAGTCGTTTGGTGACCGAGCTGAGCCCATCAACTCGCTACCTGGTTCGACTGCTGTGACTGCCCAGCCACAGCAGTCGAACCCAGGATCCCAGCGGTGCCCTTTTCGGTATCTCCGACACGACGTGAGCCACGCAGGGTCCGCTCGCCGACCTGGGCTCCGAGTCCTCGTTCGTGACTCTGCTCGTACGCCCCCCCCCCACCACCCGCCACCCCCACCCCCCCTGCAGCAGCACAACGGAGGCTAATCACCGGTGCCATCGGCGCTGAGATACGCGCCGGCTCCCGCTCCGCGCACCGCCACGTGGGCACGGTGGTGGGGTGGTGGTGGTGGTGGTGGGGGGGTGGTGGTGGCGGGTTTGGGGGTGGAGGGGCTGCGGTCGTGGGTGGATGTGTGGCGCTTGTTGTCACTGCCATCGCGTTGCCGGCACCCGAGTGAAACCGGAGCTCGTGTGGTTGCCTTCGCCCTAGGATTTAGTTCTGCAGTGCAGACTTCTGTGGAATGCGATGAATCGATGGGCACTCTTGTGTGTGCGGGTGTTTCATAGCACGTGCCTGCTTTGTGCGTCAATGGTGAGGAGTGGGCGGTAGTGGTGGCTAGATCACCGCAGCGACAAGATTGGGTTTATCTGCTTAGTTCTTTCGGTTAAGTCACGTAGAATGAGAATAAAACAATAAAACAAAATAAGACAATAAAATGCTCACGACGTTTCGGCCACAACACAAGTGGCCTTCTTCAGGTGAAGGAACAGAACTGTCGGGACGACAGCAATGAACTGTCGAGACGACATTGCTGTCGTCCCGACAGTTCTGTTCCTTCACCTGAAGAAGGCTACTTGTGTTGTGGCCGAAACGTCGTGAGAATTTTATTGTCTTATTTTGTTTTATTGTTTTATTCTCAATCTACGTGACTTTACCGAAAGAACCAAGAAGATGAATCCTTGCAGTCACGAAAGCTTTAAATCGAAAAGATTGGGTTTGATTACCCACCACGGCTAGCGTCTCTGGCGAGTGAAATTCTGAACCGCTTGCTGGACATTCACTGGGTCGACTCGGCCTCAAATGAGTACCTGGTATGGTCTGCGGAGACAAAGGCGACTGGGCATGGTACAGTGCACCCCCACCCCCTCGTGTACTGTGCCAGCCTTCATAGGTGCTCGCTAACAGCACTTTTGCCCCAACAGTCTGTTAAGGCTACAGGGGTGATCTTTGTGTTTGTGTGTGCGCGCGCACTTGCGTGCGTGCGTGTGTGTTTTCCTACGTATACACGTACACGTGTGCGCGTGTGTTTGTATCCGAATCGTGTCTCCGCCCGTGATGATCTCACTGGATGGGTATGCATCATGAAGCCGTGCCGTGGAAACACCCTGGACCCCCCCCTCCCAGTCGCACCCGTTGCCCGCAAACCCAGAAATTAGGTGACGTCTGCCTTCGACGAGCAGGCGGCCAAATTGACAACGTAATGCTGTGGTGAGTCGGCGAGCTGAAAATGTAATGGTCTATACGCTGCCTTAGATACTGTACGCGGTTTCACTTGCCGTGGTATTGCCCGCCAACCCGCTCCGACGCACTGATCGAAATGTTGGACAATGAGAAAAGACAACGAAGTTAAACAATCTTTAAAGTCTGCAACTTGAAGACCGCGTCTGAAGCGACAGACAGATTAACTAGTCAGCGAGCACCTATTGAGGCTGGACCGGCCCACAACGAAGTGGAAGCACCAGAACCCCATCTGGACGTGGGAGACGCTGACGCGTTTCGCCATTCTTTGAGCTCATCGGCAGGGTGCGTGCCCTGCCATGCGCCACTACGATTGATTGCGTTACCGTAGAATCCGTAGATGATCACGCCACCGCGCGCCATCGTGTGCGTGCGTCTCGCCTACGCATACTCGCAAATTTGCAAATGGTTGGGACGAAAAATTAAAAGATATAAATCCAAATTCAACGCTGACTTACGCCAAGCAAAAAAATTCCACTTAACCCAGAGCGTGGGTGGTTGGGTTTGGTGACGGGGGGGGGCTACGCGTGGGTTGGTGGTGGTGGTGGTGGTGCCGTGGTGCGCAGTCCACTGGACTGCAATTCGCAATTCATCAGCCGGCTGTGTAATTGGAGCAGTCCGCCTGACGAGCAGCTGCGTTTGGCTTCGCAGCGACGCCAACGCGTGACGTGGAGCGAGGAATTCATTTCCACGCCTCTGAGATGTTGTTTCTGTGAGTCGTTTGTCCTCCGCCCGTGGGCTGTGACTATCGTAAACACAAAGGGGGGGGGGGGGGGGTGGAAGCTTTAAGTTGTTGTCTGGAGACTTTCCAACGCCCACGTTACCCTGGGGGCTCCCCCCACACCCTCCCGCCCCT